TAAGTCCTTATACCCCCCACCCACCCCAAAAAAAAAAAAACCCACAACAAAAAAAAAACTGTAGGTTAAAATTTTAAACCACTATGACCCGGACTGCATTAAGGTTCTATTGGAACAAGCACTTGAGCTGGTCTGTGTCCACTACAGTGTGTTTTGTAGCATGAAACCAACAAAAAAATCAAGAAATCTATAGAAACGTGCTGTTTTTGATGTGTAATCTTCGATGATAGGGGTGGTCCCCTGTGCCAACATTGAGCACTGTAGTACCTGAGATACATCCTGTTCTAATGTTCCTCACGTAGTTGACATGAAGCCAGCTATCCCACTGACACCTTTAGATGTGGGATGGACTTTGTGTGCCCATCTCTCCTTTATTCTCTGCACGTGTCACTCCAAAGTCAACAACAGAAAAGTTAAGAGGCTGTCCATTCACTACCATTGAACCTGACAGTGACAGTGTGAAGAGCAGCTTTTAATATTTCACATGTGTACTTCATAAATCATGACATTTGCTGATAAAGCAAATATACTTGGAGCAATGAAGAGATTAGACGATAAAGCTAATTTAAAGGCAATTTAGAATTGCTTTTCCATGAGAAAACCACAGATTGATGGAATGCTTAAAAATATAACAGCTGAAAAACAGATTGGAGCACAAATTCCGAGTATGGGACACCATACTTGGCCACACGTCACTTCACTTCAAATTAGAGTAATATGAATAAGATGTGTTCACTTGACAGTTAGGGGAAAGAAAATTCATGTCACTCTAAAAAACCTTACTGAGAAACCTTAAAAAAAATACAAAACCTTACAAAAATAGGCTTACATTTCTTGAGTTTTTGTGAAAGTCATGAACAACTAACACTTTCTGTGAAGTACAATGAGCAAAATAACAATATAAATGCATTTAAATAAAAAGACTCTGAAAAGACGGCGCACCACACAAGCACAAAAAGACAAACAAACTTGCAAAGTTTTTGTAATAATCTCTGGAGAGTACAGGAAATGTGTATCTACTGGAATGAAAAAGCTTTGTACTCTCAGCATGGAAGTGCACATTTGTTACCTGCTCGTGTTTTTTTTTTTTTTTAAAGCACATTTACAGCTTTTATTTAGCAACCCTGCAGGAGTGCTATCTGTACAAAAGATCTGCTGAAAATATTTTACAGTCATATCAGTGAAACTGTCATATCAATACCATTTTATTGTTATTTGGCTGTTAAAATCATTTTGGGAAGAGAGTGATTTTAGATTACACAGGATGTGGAGGACAGTGGCTTTTAACTGAAGTCAGATGAATGAAGGATTCAGCAACATTATAGTTCATTTACACTAGGCGCAATTTTATCACCATGACTTTTAAAAATGTTTCCTTATGAGCTCCTTCACATTTTGCACTGTAATTAAAATGATTTTTTTTACTTTATCAATGTACTGTAGGTACTTAAAAAAAAAATCAATAATAATAGTAATTTTAAATGAAAATTAGCTGTAAATGTACTCATCCTCTGGCCATCCGAGATGTAGATGAGTTTGTTTCTTCATCTGAACAGATTTGGATAAATGTAGCATTCCATCGCGTGCTAATCAATGGATCCTCTGCAGTGAATGGGTGCCGTCAGAATGAGAGTCCAAACAGCTGATAAAACAATCACAGTAATCCACACCACTCCAGTCCATCAATATTATGAATAGAGGACTTGATTATACCCTGGAAGCATTTTAAAGTAAAAAATGTCTTATTGATGGATTTGTTTCTTCTAAACAAGTAGCTTTTCAATTCAAAAGACGTTAACTGCAGAGGATCCATTGGGTTTTTGAGTCCTGCTGCCGCTATGGAATTTAAATGTAGAGTGGATGCATGTATTTATAGGATGTATTTTACTGTACGTTATAGTACATGAAGGATCAAAATATGCAGCTTTGTGAACTTTTCTTAGAGATGGATGGACATTTGCATACACTGGGGTGGATAGTTTTGGTTTCTTCTTTCTCAAACTGTACTAGTGAAATAATTAAATAAATACAACCCTTCAGTGTTCCCAAAGTATCACCCTTATTTTAGACATTTGCAGATCAGTATTATCCTTAAAAACTGCTCTTAGAGAGGTAATTGAGGAAGTCCAACATGCTAATTCGATTGGACCACAAGTCCCCAGTACTGTTCTCATTAATTTAATTAACGTTGTCAGTGTCATTGTTTCACCATAAATCATACAACTGTAGCTCATCATTTCAGTATCTGCCATACTGCAGTTCCCCTGAGAGATGATTGCTCAACACTATATGTATTATATTTTATGTAAAATTGATTTATGCATAAGACTAGACTGTGGCTTTTGTGGTGATTTTCAACTCATTAAGCTTCCTGAAGTCTTGAGCACATCCTGCCTGCTACCTTTAAAAGCTTTGCCTCTACTTGTGCGTAGCTTAGCTTTAGGTGTAATAGGATAATTACCTTCACAGTATTTTTACAGTACTAAAGATATTATTTGATTGACTTAATTACATTTTTTAAGTTTTAACAAGAGGTATTGGGATTCTTTACAAATGGCAAAATTTAAGAGGGTTCCGTTTATTTGTTAAGCCTAACTTGAAAGTAATTGTAGAGTGTTTTTTATATGTTTTTTATAAATGTTGTTTATAAATTTAAATTGAGTCTTTATGTATATATATTTTTTGTTGTTAGTGTCAGTATAGCTTTAGTTCATCCCTTATAACACTACACTTGTTCCATATGCATATACTCACAATAGCTACACATTAAAATAATGCATAACACATAACACACAAAACAAGTAACTCTCAGAATGTTTTTTTTTTTGTCCAATGCACTACTTTTGTACAATGCAGTACTCATGATTAGTGAAATGTGTTATAAAGTCCCATTGCTGCTGCATTTCACACTAAATTATAAGTACAGTCATACTGAACTTTTATGATTCACCAGTGTACACTGGATCCACTCAGGTCTACTTTCAGTCTCAGACGACCCACTTGGAGAACAATGGCCACTGATTTGCCGAAATGTGTGAAGTTCAGGGCATTAAATCTTTCAAATTTTAAAAGTTTTGTTTGAAGCACTTTGGATCACTTAGGTTTGACACCGTTTGTATTAATTGTTGTGGTTTTGTCATATTGCAGTACTGTATGTGTTCTGGTTGCTCTTTTGTGTAAACTTCTCACACATCTGCACACATCCTTCTCTAATCTCATATTTTTCACATTCATCTCTCTCTCTCTCTCTCTCTCTCTCTCTCTCTCTCTCTCATTGTCAGCTGTTTGAGCTTCTAGGTCCTCAGGGGTTTGAGATGATCTCCAAACTCCTTCAGAGAAGGTCAGACATCGTGGACTCCCTGGTGTCCATCCCGTTGGATAGCAGACCTCACTACAATTCAGGTGAGCTCAGTAGCAACTTCACAGCATAAACATGGCAAATATCTCCTCTTGTTTAGTTTGACAAGTTTAGACACATTATCACAATTTTTCTATGGTTTAGAATAATTGAAATGTCATCGAATAACACAAATTGAAATGTAGGGAAACACCACAATAGTCAGTGACTTGAAAGTAAAGCTCCCACATTTATATTATAGATAAATTGATTTCAGTATAAACTTTAAGACAGACCTACCATGTTCAAATGGTGCTTTTTGTGTGTAATTGTCAAGTTCCATCTGAAAAATTACAGTACCTGTAATCTTGAAGAGATGTACCTTAAATCAGAAAAGTCACTGTTACCGGTTACTGTCCCGACCAGACATGCTTTATGGAATCCACAGTTCTTTTTCCATGTATGTTGTTATATATCTTTTTCTAAATTTCAAGTTCTTTATTCTTTGAATTTATGTTCATATTGTTGTGATTTAATCTTGGAGGATTTTGGAATACATTCTGAAGACTTTTTTGTTCAAGAGAGATTCTTGAGTAGATGTATTGGGATTCTTTACAAATGGCAAAATTTAAGAGGGTTCCGTTTATTTGTTAAGCCTAACTTGAAAGTAATTGTAGAGTGTTTTTTAAATGTTGTTTATAAATTTAAATTGAGTCTTTATGTATATATATTTTTTGTTGTTAGTGTCAGTATAGCTTTAGTTCATCCCTTATAACACTACACTTGTTCCATATGCATATACTCACAATAGCTACACATTAAAATAATGCATAACACATAACACACAAAACAAGTAACTCTCAGAATGTTTTTTTTTTTGTCCAATGCACTACTTTTGTACAATGCAGTACTCATGATTAGTGAAATGTGTTATAAAGTCCCATTGCTGCTGCATTTCACACTAAATTATAAGTACAGTCATACTGAACTTTTATGATTCACCAGTGTACACTGGATCCACTCAGGTCTACTTTCAGTCTCAGACGACCCACTTGGAGAACAATGGCCACTGATTTGCCGAAATGTGTGAAGTTCAGGGCATTAAATCTTTCAAATTTTAAAAGTTTTGTTTGAAGCACTTTGGATCACTTAGGTTTGACACCGTTTGTATTAATTGTTGTGGTTTTGTCATATTGCAGTACTGTATGTGTTCTGGTTGCTCTTTTGTGTAAACTTCTCACACATCTGCACACATCCTTCTCTAATCTCATATTTTTCACATTCATCTCTCTCTCTCTCTCTCTCTCTCTCTCTCTCTCTCTCATTGTCAGCTGTTTGAGCTTCTAGGTCCTCAGGGGTTTGAGATGATCTCCAAACTCCTTCAGAGAAGGTCAGACATCGTGGACTCCCTGGTGTCCATCCCGTTGGATAGCAGACCTCACTACAATTCAGGTGAGCTCAGTAGCAACTTCACAGCATAAACATGGCAAATATCTCCTCTTGTTTAGTTTGACAAGTTTAGACACATTATCACAATTTTTCTATGGTTTAGAATAATTGAAATGTCATCGAATAACACAAATTGAAATGTAGGGAAACACCACAATAGTCAGTGACTTGAAAGTAAAGCTCCCACATTTATATTATAGATAAATTGATTTCAGTATAAACTTTAAGACAGACCTACCATGTTCAAATGGTGCTTTTTGTGTGTAATTGTCAAGTTCCATCTGAAAAATTACAGTACCTGTAATCTTGAAGAGATGTACCTTAAATCAGAAAAGTCACTGTTACCGGTTACTGTCCCGACCAGACATGCTTTATGGAATCCACAGTTCTTTTTCCATGTATGTTGTTATATATCTTTTTCTAAATTTCAAGTTCTTTATTCTTTGAATTTATGTTCATATTGTTGTGATTTAATCTTGGAGGATTTTGGAATACATTCTGAAGACTTTTTTGTTCAAGAGAGATTCTTGAGTAGATGTAACTTGTTTTAAGGAGGCTTAGATTCTTGTAGCAAATCAAATGGTTTGCTTTTATGGATTCTTTTAACAGAAAAAAAGCTAAGAAAGTGAATGGGGAAAATACTTCCAGAACCAAGGCTGAGGAAAAAGTGGGTGGTCAGGTGGTCCAGTCTTAATGCAATGCAAGCAGTGGGCAGTCTAATCTACAGTTTTAAGCCATTCTCTTCTAGCATGGTAATCTCAAAGACCCGTGTGATCTTTGACTTTGAGCACTTTTGCATGGAAAAGAAGTTCAGAATTTAAAAACAAAGAAAGAAAGACCATTTGAAGGAGTGAGTGGAACCGAGATGGAGAGAGAAATGGGGCCACTGACCCTTTAACCTCCATAAAGCTTTACAACCGCCATCTCTCAAAACACTGTAAGTGTGTTAGTCTTTAAACGTTCTCTATTAACCTTCATTTCCTGATGATCAGCTGTTTGTCTGAACTCTGAATGGGGAGTATCAGGATTTACAGTACCTGCATACAGAGAGATGGGAACGCAACTCAGTGCTCACATTAAAGGCGATTTAAGTCACACATGGCCATTTAAGTGCTTCCCACAGGTTTGCAATATACTTGCGGTGGTTGCCGGGTGTGGAAAATCCTCCTATTACCACGGCACAAAAAAGGTCTACTACATGTGACAAATAATGTGTAATTTAAAAAAATATATATTTTTCTTTAATTAATAATTTTTTATTGAAATTCATATTAATTACAAAGGCTACCATTACATTTAATTACATACTAATATTATGCATTATTATGCATTGTAAATTATGCAAAATTACAGCAGGGCGCTTGCCCCCCACTCCCTGATGGTACTGTTACGGCGCGGGACGCGCCATCCAGGAGGGGGGCGATCGGTCACGTGTATGTTCCCGTTTATTTCCTGTTGTCCTTATTTGGTCCTTCCAGTTCCTTTTCCCATTATTAGTATCACCTGTTCCTTATTAGTTATCTCCATCACCTGTCTGCCCCTCGTTATCTGCCCTATTTAGTTCTAGCCTGTTCTGAGTTTCTTTGTCTGGAATTGTTTTATCTACATTGCTACGTGTGTTCTCCTGGTTCCTTTGGAAGTTTATTAAAGACTGTTTGAAATGAATTCCGCATCTCCTCGCTCCGTGCTCCTCACAGTAGCATCCCGTGACAGCAATGACCTTTTTTTTTTTTTATTCAATGGCGGAAACGGGCTTCCATAAAAAACTAAAACAAAAAAAAACTAAAATTTAAACCAGCCCGAAAAACATCAGGACCCTTATTTTGAAATGTACATTATAGTGGGCTGATCCTTCAGATGAGAGATAAAATATGCATTCTTACAACCGTCTAAAACATATCATATAAAGGTCATAAAATAGACATTGTGATCATTTATCTACTCATATCTACAAGTTCATAAGCAATCGCTTGGCATAAATGTGTGCTATTCATTGATTGAGAATCACTTTGAAGCAGTCTGAAGCGCTGTTGCGTGAGCCTGTAGAATGCCTTGTGAGACTGCAACGTGCAGTGCTCTTTTTTTTTTTATGAAATAATAGCCTTTTGAAGTTTAATCATCAATAGGCTGTATTGCGATTTGTTTTTCCATCCCCAAAATATAAGAGGTCTTAAAATGATCATTAAGACGTTTGTTTTACAAACAAGGGATTTTGCTTTATTCACACACGTACTCCTAAATACGTTTTACAGTTCGCGCACATCTATTTTAGTCACAAATGCGACTGAAGCGCCTGCACTGTCGAGCCCTGTCTTTCACGCGGGAATGTCAGCAGGAGTAAACAGTTCTCGAGCACACCGAACGAGCAGATATGAAATGTGTAGAGCGAGGGGAGATTTTCCACTAGTCAATCGATCCCGGATGGTTTCATTTATTTCAGGTAGAAAAAAAAGTATAAGCGGATAAAAATGATAAAAGCAAACATGTTTCTCCAAATATACTTGGGTAGCCATTAACCCTCATGTGATGTTTGGGTCCTTTTTGCTCAGAATTTTTTTTTTTCCCCGAAAATACTAGTTAATGTTATCGCATTGGACTAAAATTTTGTGACTTTGTTCACAAAGGGTATAACTACTTCTAAAAAAAAATGTTTGATCATTTTCATACTTTTCTGGGTGAGATTTTTCACCTTGTTACACCTACGAGGTTACAGAGCAAAAAAGGTGTAACAGATCGGTAAAATAATCCATGTGACTTCAGGGGTTCAACCGTAATATTACGAAGCTACGAGAATACATTTTGTACGCAAAGAAAACAAATTGTTGAATAAAGTCGTCATTTGTTTTCTTTGCGTACATAGAGCGAAATTAAGCAAAAACAGACAGTGCTGACAATATTGTGTCTAAAATGTAACATAATATTAACTTATTTATTGAGCTGTTGTATAAAATGAATATTACATTTGTAATCGTGCAGATATTCAGGAAAGAAACAGCATTCTTGGTCATGTGATATTGCTAAATGATATCACATGATATAAGTCAAAAACCCATAGGCTATATTATGCAGTCAGTCATCGTCCTGCATCATGCTGAACCACTATCAGTCCACTTATCAGACCAAACATTGAAAATAAAGACTTATTTTACCCATGGACGGATGATCCTCTACTGGAGAGGTATTACCGAATATGTGATTGTCTGACTGGCTAAACCATCAGCTTTGTGAAACCATATCAAGACGTGAGCATATTAACATAAAAAAAGCCTTTTTTAACGATTGTGTTTCTTCTGCTTTGAGTAAATGCCTGAAAATGACATTTTAACCCAACTTGAAAATATGTGCTTATGAAATATGTAAGCATTCTAGTTACCAGTCTCTTATTCTGTCTTCACACATCTAAAACCGAGAACGATTGTTGGAGCTTTGTTTTAAAAGTGTAAGCGGGGTGCTTAAGAACACAGCACGAGGTCTTCCACCGCAAGTATCACATAAACCCATCTACAGCCAGCTACAATAATAAACTGTCACTTTCATAAGCACTGTGAAGTGTGACAAGCCCACAGACAATACAATGTGCTGCAATAAAGTAAAAAAAAAAAAAAAATCAAAGCTAGTTCAGTGTAAAGTGTCTTTAAGAGGGTTTTTGTCTTTCTACACTCACCGTGAGAATAAGTGACTGAATATATGTGCAGCTCTATTGCGGGACTGTAATTTCTAAGCTATATGTCATTTCAGTTAGCACTCTCTTCCTGTGAGCACTTGGCCATTAATGAGGAACTGAGCTGCTCTTAATCCATTAAACTTCCACTTTTTAGTGAAATTACCCTTTTGTGTAAGTGTTCATAAAATTATTACAATTACCAGAGGTCGCCTCAGCTAGTGTGCGGCACTGTAAAAAGCTCTGGAAGTGAGTGAAGTATTCACAGTGCTGTATAGTCAAAGTTTATATATATATAACAATTCATATCAGAATTGTATTCGATTTAAAGATTTGAGATATATTTTGCATACTGCTTTCTTACTGTGAGCACCTATGTACAACAACTTAAAAAGTGTGGAGCATATATGGGAAAGACATCCCATGATGCACCTAGGCATCTAGGCAAGCAGCAGGAGTTTTGATTTTTATATATATATATATATATATATACAGTGGGGAAAAAAAGTATTTAGTCAGCCACCAATTGTATCATAAACCCTTAGAATTTCTCTTAAGTATCCCTTAAAACCCAAGTGTTGCATAAAGCCCCTTAACTGTCATTTTCCTAAGGATAACATAAGGGTTGGAAATTGTCACCTTAAGTGTTACACAAAAGTCTTCTTCAAGTCATGATCGTCCGCTTTATATGTTAAACAGAATTTAATTTACGGATTTATTCACATATAAACATGGATCAAATTACATACGGTACATAAATAGCTCAAACGTGAGTGTGTCACACTCGAGAGCAAATTTATATTCCATAATATTTTATTCCTGTATTTTCCTACATATTACCTGGAGATGACTTGAAAAACACACAAACCATATATTGTTGCAATTGTGAGTTTGTTGTGTTTACGTTTCTGCTTTTTATTCATTTTATAAGATAGGCTACTTCTATGAATCTGGTTTGGACTTTCTGCGCGAGAGTGCCCTCCGGCTTCGAGTATGAATGAAACACACACTGCATGAGAGTGTAGCGCTTTAATGTTCACATCGATTTGGATACGAATAAATCGTCATGCATAGACTATCTTGTCTCTTTGCATTTAAATATATATTTATTCACACTAGTACCTGAAAACCTCTACATGGACAGAAATAATGAGAGATCTTTATTTGTTGTCCAAAGATGAATATAGTCTTATGGGTTTGAACTGACACGAGGGTGAGTAAATGATTTTTCAGAATTTTCAGTTTTGAGTGAATTATCAATTTGAATTTCCGTCTCATCTGGTCCTTCTCTTACATATTTGGTTTTCTTTTTTGTTTTCTTTATCCATGTTATATTGTTTTC